TTTTTCAGGACAGGAAACCATGCCCTATTTATTTTTAAACTCTCTTCTTTCCTGTTGAAATTGTGTTTATGTTTCTGTATTTCAATGGCTTCCCTGTGTAATCTGACATGGTAATTGGATGTGTTGTTCAGCCTTTCAGTGTCTTGGAATAAAATACTGTGTCCTGTTTGAGTTAGGCTATGTTCAGCCACTGCTCTTCCTGATATTCCCGAGGTTTTCAAACTCAGGTTAGATGGTCATCTGACAGCAATACTGATTCTGTGAACTTAGGCAAATTGTGAGAGGGAGGGCAGGAAGTGCTTAGTTCTTGTGGCCCTTTTTTACACACCCAGGGAAATGCTGATTACCACTTTGGGGTCAGCAAGCAATTTTTCTCCAGGCCAGTTTGGCCAGGGATCCTGGAGGGTTTTTTTTGTCTCTATCTATCTATCTATCTATCTATCTATCATCTATCTATCATCTATCATCTATCTATCATCTATCATCTATCTATCTATCATCCATCCATCCATCGTGTTTCCCCGAAAATAAGACACTGTCTTATATTTATTTTTTCTCAAGAAGACACACTAGGGCTTATACCACAAATGCATAGAAATCCTGCTAGGGCTTATTTTTTGGGTACATCTTATTTTCGGGGAAACAGGGTAGTACTGCTCATATGGCTATCACCGCAGAAATTAGAACAAAAGAAAATATTTTAAAAGAACTTACTCAGTATTATTTCTCTTATATTTGATTATTGTGCCTGTGAATTTTGCCACTGAGAGGGTGACATGATCGTTGGTATCTGATAGTAGCCATGACACCTGAGCTCGCACATTTAGCAGTTCCATATCTTTAAGTAAAGGGGTGACTAAATTAGCCCCCCTCATCGAATATAGGGCACTCCATAATCATATGTTCAATGGTTTCGATTGTATGATATTAACATCTGCATGTTCTGTTAGAGTATGATACGTTATTATATCTGCCCTACAAAACTGCCGAGGGAAGAACGTTCAGTCTTGCCAAAGTAAAAGTTCTTCTTAGTTTTGTGACTGTCAGTTGATAAAACTATTTTGGCAGTTGCATTGGGAGGGCAATTCCCAAATTAACTGTCGAACATACCCTGCGCGCCCTAATAGACGTACTTGTAACATCCAATTTCCTTACAGATTTTTTATTTGTCTTCTAATGTCTTTAGTTTCTGTATTTTTAATCATATCATTTGTTATTCCTAGGCATCTCATTTTCTATTCCAATAGTTGATCCCATTGTCTGTAATGTGCATATGTCTAGATAAGCCCAAGTAGAGTAGATCCTCCCTCAGATTTTAAAACCTTTACTTTAAAGAAAAATGATTTAATCCAAGCTGTAGTTTCCATTGATAATTTACCTAGTTCCGCTCTCCTAGTGCCTGAGACACATCTAGGAGTAGTCAATAAGCATCGTAAAATGTCATACTGGATGGAATCAATTTTTTCAGAAGTGGCCTGAATCCAAATTCCATACAGGAATTGATTTAGAACGTTAGCATTGAATACCTTTAAAGCCGAGGGGACAGATTGGCCTCCTGATGAGTAGTATTTTACAGTTGTCTTCCCTACTCTCAAAGCTGTGATCCTTGCTAGATCCAAGTGTGTTTTCCATGTAAGAGATGCTTCAAAGTGGATTCCTAAATATTTAAATTGATTGACCTGTTCCATAGGTTGGTCTGCTATGTCCCATTTGAAGATTTCCCCCTTTTTCCTTTTGGTGAATACTATGACCTTGGATTTCGCCACATTGATGGACAAGCCCTCATGATAACAGTAAAGCTCAAAATTTTGTATCAGCTTGCTGAGACCTACTATTGAACTTGACACTATCACTGCATCATCAGCATATAGAAGGATTGGAACTTCATGCTTGAATAAATGTTGAAGATGACATGCTTCCTTCAGGATACAGGGTCTGAGGTCATTTATATATAAATTGAACAACAGGGGTGCAAGTAAACATCCCTGCTTGACTCCTTTGTCTAGGATGAAAGGCTCAGATAGCTGTCCTAACTCCCCGCATCTAACCCGGGCGGAGGGATGGTTATAGAGCTGTTGAATTAAGTAAAGGAGACGTGGTTCAATGCCATATTTCTTCAGCTTTTCCCATAGCCGAGGTCTAGAGATTGTATCAAATGCTGATTTTAGGTCCATGAAGGCAGTTGCCAGCGTGCCTTCTCCAGAACTTGTGTATTTATTAACCAAGAACTGGAGGGTATGGCAATGGTCGATGGTACTTGCTCCTTTTCTAAAACCAGCCTGTTCCTTTCCCAAAATACTGTTTCCTTCAACCCAAGATTCCAGCTTTTCAAGAAGCATTGCAGCATAAAGTTTTTCCTATAGTGGATAGCAGGTTTACTGGATGGTAATTCATCAGGTCTGTCGGGTTATTGCACTGTACAATTATTGCACTGCACCAGATTCTCGGTATATTTCCCATTTTGTTTATTTCAGTGAAAAAGGCAGCCAAAGTCTGCGCGCACCAGTCTAGGTCAGTTTTGAATAGTTCTGCTGGTATTAAATCGGGCCCAGGTGCTTTCCCTTTTTTAATATAAATTAAAACCTTAATCTCACTTGCTGTTACCGGCGGCCATTCCTTCACACCTGATGGCAATATCGACCTACCATCCTGGGTCTTTCCATTTCCATTTGTGAAAATAGAGGTGAAAAAAGCTTTCCAGACGGTGACTGGAATATGAGAGGTACAGGGAGCCATGTGTTTAGTCCTTTTGCAATTAAGATCCAGATTTGTTTTCATTTTTTGTTTTTATGGCCCAGAGCAGACTTTCCCAATCTCTCTTCTGGGCCTCAGATTTCTTAAATTTCAGTAGTTTTTAATATTCTTTTTTCAATTTCAAAATATTCGGCAAAATCTCTACTCTATTTGAGTTCTTAAACTGTCTATATAGGCACCTGATTGATCTTTTGAGTGCCTTACAGTCAGAGTCGTATCAATTATTTCTATGGCTTGAACCCTGCCCCCTGGGCGTTGCTGTCACCAAGTAAAAAAATAATGTCTTTGTGTTGATCTGTGTTCTTTATAAAGTATATATTGCTGATACATTACATTTTATGACACACATGACTCAGCCCCACAAAGACCCATTTATGTCAGATCCGGCCCTCGTAACAATTGAGCTTGACACCCCTGAGATAGATGTTCTTTAACTGCCCATTTATTCATCCAGTTTATCATTCGACCATTATAGGGTAAGATGTTCAGTACTATTTTGTTACTATCAAGGATCAAAGGGTGAACAAGGGGATCCAGGTTTGGTACAGGGTTGCCTCCCATCATTTTCTTATGTCAGTCACCCCATCCTCCCCATCCTTTCCATCCTTACTCTTAGATTGATAAATCACCCCTTCGCCTTGTTTACTTAGATCTTGCTCTCTCATTGGCATAGTAGATGCCACTGTTCCTTTCATTTCTAAATTTCTACATCCCTTACACCCCATATTGTCCTTACTCCCCTTTACCAGAAAATCTTCAATAAGTTTTGATAATATATCTATTTTTTCAAAGACTTTCTTTAGAGTGTTAGATATTAAGAGTGTCTGATCTGCCAACACTTCCAGGTCTATTTGTTGTTCCTACCGTTTTTTGTTTTTTTCCAGTAGTTCATCTATAATAGAAATATAAGTTGGAGATTCTAAAGGAGAATTAGAAGAAATATTCAAGGGACTGGGGGGGGGGCATATCTTTGACCCTAGGAGAAAGAGATCTATTAGAATTTCTTGTGACAAGAAAATTCTCCATCTTGCTATGCTTAGAAGGGGGTAAATCCTCATCAAGGGGGTGCACCCTTTTCCTTCGCATTCTTTTTTTAAAAACAAAATTTTTATTCAGGATATAATCAATTGCTAGGTTGGCAGGAGCTGGAACTAGAGATGGGAGCTCACTCCATCATGCGGCACCCGGGTCTCGAACTGCTGAACTACTGACCTTCCACATCAAGCGGGTGCACCCTTTTCCTTCTCATTTTCATATGACACTACACTACTAGATAGATAGCAAAAATATATTTAAAATCAGATCAATAAAATCAGTAAAGTATCTTTAATATCTAGCTAAAATCAAACTACTAAATTCCCACTACTTAGTTTATTATGCTAAAACACAAATCTTTTAAAATTAGATTAAAACCTAAAACCTAGCAGAACAGTAAAACCCTAAAAGCCTCAACCAGAATGGCCTTAAAAGGGTTGTAAGGGTTAAGGTAGTAATGGACCTTTAAAAAGAAAGAGAGAGTGAAAATAAAAGAAATAAAAGAAAAAAACGATAAGGGGCGAGGTAAATTCTTCCCAGTTTCCCTTCTCCTCACCTTCTCCTTTGTAACAGCTTCTAGACCAAAAATAGTGTAAAAGTCTAAAAAGCCCAGAAGACCTCCAGTAGCTAACAGTAGCTGCACTGTAGAAGGAGAAAGAAAACCTGCTCCACGCTATTTGTAATTGCTGAGAATGCCTTAGATAAGAATGATGAGGGAACTTTTGCTAACACAAAGAAATCCTCCCTCCCTATGTTAACAAAACAAGATAAAAAACGGACTGCTTCAGTGGGAGACTAAAAACAGTTAAAACCAATTAAAATCATTAAAAACACTTAATCTGTGACAGAGCACAGCCAAAAAGCGTCTAGTCACGTTGACAAGGGTTTTTTTGTTATCATCTGGGCATGGAACAGGAGTCACTAGGGGTGTGGGGGGAAGGTATTTGTGAATTCCCTGCATTGTACAGGGGGTTGATGACCCTGGAGGTCCCTTCCAACTCTATGATTCCATTAGCTGTATGCAACACCTACGGGGCCAATGTTTTTCAGGAGCTTCTGTGTGGCTGCCGACACAATTGAGGTCATGAGGATAAGTTGATTCTAAATTACAGAGCACTTGGTATGCTGAAAAGATGCCATAAAATGAACATCATGCAGAGGATGAAAGGAAGATTGAATAATAATGTATCATATGGTTTTTCTTAGAAATCATTGATGATCTTGCCAACTTGGTAGAAAATACTGATGACAAGCTGCGCAGCCAAACCAGACGTGTGAAGATGGTCGACAAAAAGTCAGCTTCCTGTGGTGAGATATGGTTTGACTTAAAGTTCTCCTCTTCGCTTTAAAATGGCTGTCATTTTTGTAAATTTGACCACCTGATTCGAAGTAGTCAAGATCTGTCCTTCAAACAAGATTCTTTCTCCCCCAGTCTTTCAGTATTCTCTGATAACAGTTCAGAGTGCAGCAATCTGATAATTATTGATAATCAGTTATGTTTAAATAACTAATGCATTTGGGAGAGAAGGGGGAAAGGAATGCAAATATGAAGGGAAAAGACTAAAAGTAGTATCCTCCTCAAGGGGATTGGATTACTCTGGAGCAGGTATTTCAGATTTGTTTAGAGTCAGAGGAATGGCATAAAGCAGAGGGTTCTGTTAGACTACCTATCTTGCAATTTTGTGTTAAATTTTCATACTGTCAAATCATAGAATACCAATTAAGCAATAGGAATATACAAGGGAAAAATTCTTTTTCTCTTGACCAGCAACAGGTTAAGCTACTTGGAAACTAAATAGTGCCATATAAGTGGAAAGAAGCATGCAACTGTGTTGTGACTGGCAGAATGCTACTGAATGTTTATCTACAATCTTTTCAGATTTTCAGAAGCATATGTGCTAAATTTCACCAGGCTTTTGATTTAAAACAAAAATCCTTGTTCACATGGCAGTCATTTATCATTTGCTTTTTTATGCACAGTACTGGGTCCAATGCTTTTTAACTTGTTTATTCATTATTTGGAGTTGGGAGTAAGCAGTGAAATGGCTTAAGTATCATAATGCCCCTGTGATGGTGCGACCTCATTTGGAATACTGCGTGCAATTCTGGTCACCACACCTCAGAAAGGATATTATAGCATTGGAAAAAGTGCAGAAAAGGGCAACTAGAATGATTAAAGGATTGGAACACTTTCCCTATGAAGAAAGGTTAAAGCGCTTGGGGCTCTTTAGCTTGGAGAAATGACAGCTGAGGGGTAACATGATCGAGGTTTACAAGATTATGCATGGGATAGAACAGGTAGAGAAAGAAGGACTTTTCTCCCTTTCTCACATTACAAGAACTCGTGGGCATTCAATGAAATTGCTGAGCATTTGGGTTAGTAGGGATAAAAGGAAGTTACCCAAAGAGTGATTAACACATGGAATTCACCGCTACAGGAGGTGGTGGCAGCTTCAAGAATGGATGGCTTCAAGTGGAAATTAGATAAACATATGGAGCAGAGGTCCCTCAGTGGCATAAGGTATAGATAGGAACTTTTGGTCTGGGGCAACTGATGCTCTTTATTCTTGGAGCTTTGGGGGGCAACAGTGGGAGGGCTTCTAGTGTCCTGGCTCCACTGGTGGACCTCCTAGTGGCATCTGGTATTTTTGGCCATTGTGTGACAGAGTGTTGGACCAGATGAGCCATTGTCCTGATCTGACATTGGCTTCTCATGTTCTTATGTCCTGTGGCTGGGGCTTGGCCCACTGTGGCCATGTGCTGTGCCTGATGCCCTGCCTCTGTCTTTCCTGTTCCCGAAGAAGCGGGTGGGTGGGGTGGGTGAGGTTTCATCCCAGGCCCACCGCACTGTTTGGAGCCGTTGGGGCCTGAGGGCAAGTAGGAGAATGCAGGCGTGGGTCCCTGTTCGCCGCTGCTGGCCCGCATGGGAAACTGTCCTGGGGTTGGGGCCATGTGCTCTGCCTACTGCCCTGCCACCATCCCCGAAGAAGCACTGTTTGGAGCCATTGGGGCTGGGGGGGGGGGAGGATCTCCAGATTTTATGGATCAGCAACCCTTGTCAGCTCCAGGTTGGGAAATTGCTGGAGCTTTACCAGGGGAGCTTGGAGGGCAGGGACCTCAGCAGGGTGTAGTCCCATAGAGTCCATTGTCCAAAGTAGCCATTTGCTCCAGGAAACGCAGGATCAGTTGTAATTACAAGAGATCTTAAGGCTCTATGCAGAGACTGACAACCAGATTGGCAGCATTGGAGTGTGGACTCTATGGCAGGGGCGTTGAACCCATTTGTTACAAGGGGCGGATCTGACATAAATGCCACTTTGTCGGTCCGGACCATGTGTGCCATAAAATGGAACATGAGGTACCTGAGATATGAACTTTATAAAGGTGATTTCAGATGCTGAACGGCAATAAGCTTGATTGGATTTGATGTGATATGCAGAGGGGTAGGGGGCATGGAGATATCATCATTGGTAATGAGACAGGAAACTTTGGTCTCAGTTTGGTCTAGAAGGATGCAAAGAATAAATGGACATAAGTCTGAAGAAGTGAGCAGTGACCCACAAAAGCACATACCCTGCCACAATTTTTGTTAGTCCTTAAGGTACTACTGAACTCTTACTCTTTCTACTACTATTAGAAACCATAACATTCAAAAACTAGTGGGGGAACATTTTAACCTTCCAGATCATTCAGTTGCTGACCTAAGAGTAGCAGTTCTCTTACAAAGGAATTTCAAAGGGAGATTAGAAAGAGAGACTGCTGAATTGCAACTGATAATGAAGCACAATGCATCCTCCTAGGCTGAACTGAGACCTAGGTTTCTTCTCTCTTTACCAATGGCTCTATTGTTACTTGGCATCTGAAATCACTTCACTCTCCAAGATATAAGGACTGATGTTCACATTCTAGCTGTATCTGAAGAAGTGAGCTGTGACTCATGAAAGCTCATGCACTGCCACAAATTTTGTTAGTCATTAAGGTGCTACTGGAGTCTTGCTCCCTTCCATTAATAAAGATTGCAAGCTGTGCTGTTAGGTTTCATTTATTTATTTATTTATTTATTTATTTCATCTGTTAGAACTGGAAATGGGGATCTCTCCAAGTGAAATAATGGGCTGCTTTCAGACTGGATAAAATCCACTCACTGCTAGCGATGATAATAAAAAGTTGTAAAAGCAACGGGTGGTTAATGTGAAAAAAGGCAACTAGTGAGAGGGGAGGAGAGGGGAGAGGGAGACCATGTATTGAACTGGAACACATGGAACAATAAATGTATTTCCAGCAGCAGCATCTACTTTCAGTCATTCAACCATGGAATCCAATCCATGTGGTGTAATTCTTGATCAGGGTCTTTTGTGTGTGTGTGTGTGTGTGTGTGTGTGTGTGTGTGTGTATATTTTTATTTGGTTTAACAGTATTTAACATTCCAATACACATGTAACATATAGTGTAGAGTCTCATACATTCAATGTCTCTATCCAATCATACACTTTAACCCATCTTTTTTTATATACTTTTCCGTACTTATTCTGCAACTTGAGGCTTAGATTATCCATCTGTGCTAGATCTGTGATCAGGGTCTTTTTGAAAGAAAATTCCAGATGGGCAAAGAGAAACCTAATCCTTTTTTAAAAAAGTTTTCAGAATAAAGCAAAAGAATTTCCCTTTAATTCCCCTTATCCCAAATGCATGTCTTTCCTTCCCCCCTTCTTTTTTTAACATGAGTGTATGTGAGATCAAGTCTCAAAGTAAACAGCAGAGCAGGGCTTGTTAGAAAAATCTCCCTCCCTCCTTCTAAAGACGTATGCACAGGAAAAGTTATAACTTTTATAACAAATAAAACTTTATAACAAATAAAACCTTCGTGCCATGAGACTCCCCCTCCAAACGAGGGGCTAGGCAATGCAGCAGCAGCCCCAGAAAAGGAAGCAGGAAAGAGCAGAGGGAGCTTTTCTCTGGTGCGCATTTGTGCACTTTCTTTTTCCTTCCCTTTGATGTATCCCTAAAGTCTTGGCAACATAGCAGCAGCTCCAGATAGGGTTGCCAGACCGACAGTCCGAGTGGGGGTTCCCCAGGTTTCAGGGGTGCCTTCCCACCACCAGCCGACTGGCTGGCTGGCAGGGGGGAAAGCCCTGGCCCCAAGAGTGACCTCCCGGCCACCCCTACTGCAAGATTTAAAGGGTCTCCAGCTGACCAGCAGAAGCACGTGGCCCACTGAGCAGCTGGAGGGCCCTTTATACCTTGCAGCCACAAATTCATGGCTTGGAGTGCAGGTGTGTGTGGGGGGCCACCAGTCCCCAATGTGATGATGTCACTTTTGTGTGATGTCAATATGTTGGGGATGTCCCCGCCCCCTCCAGTAATGCCCTCCAAAGTCCCCCGCCGGGGACTTGGAAGGACCGGACAACCCTACCCTCAGAGGAGGAGCAGAGGGAGTGTTTCTTTTTCCTTCCCCCTCACTTCCCTAAAGGAGGAAGAGAGGCTTGGCAACGTAGTAGCAGTAGTGGCCAGGAGAAGGAAGCAGTTGCTCACGGGCCAGAAACCAGCCCTGCAGGTGCCGGATCTGGACCGTGGGCTGCATGTTTAACACACCTGTTTTAGGGCATCAGATTTTCACCCAACTCCCTTCCCTTCCCACATTCTAGTCTCCCAAAGCACCACCCTCAAATCTCCAGCAGTATCCCAAGTTGGCAACTATGTGTTCTGGCTGTGGAGAGACATCCAGGTCCTTCTTTCTTTGTCCAAGGCTGCTGGTGTTTAAATGTCATTCAGCGAGGATTTGAGGGGAGAAGTGTACTAATATCATGCTAGCACACAATGTAACTTTCTGCAAAATCTGGAAATAACATCAAAATAACAGTCCTTGTCTCTTTAGAGGCTATGATAAACGTGATAATTGTGTAAATGGTCTCTCCTTGGTTTTAGCTCTGTTTCAGACTTCTGCTTAGTTCCCATTTTCAGAAGTCCAAATCCTGTTGCACTGTTTACTGGATGTCCCATCCTTTTGATTATATTGAATGATTGATTATATATTACATAATTTGCCTTCAGTCTCAGGCAGAAATGCAGACTATAATGAACATAAATTTAAAGAATACATAATAGTTCTTGAGCTATAGAGTCTCCATCCCACAAGGGTGGCAAGGGGAAAGGTCGGACTATGCCTGCCACCTTTAGCCCCTTGAAGGAAAAGCAGTATAAAATGTTATTATTTTTTTAATGTGCTGTGATATGTGTGACTGGTTGCTGCTGCCACACACCAGAAGTTGCTTTGTATCAGATATTAGATCTCTTCTCTCAGATGTTCG